AGTGCTTCTAGACAAGTGCACAAATAATAGACCTCTCACAGCCAACACACACAAGCACAACTCACATCCACCGCCAAACCACACACTCAAGGCCACCAGAACACACACCCCAAGCCACCATAGCCAGCATAAACACCTCTCACAACCACCGCACACAAGCACAACTCACATCCATAAACACCAAAGCCACAACAGCCACTACAAGCACCTCTCACAACCACCACACACAAACTCAACTCACTTCCATCACCAACCTACACACCAAGGCCACTAGAACACACTCAAGCCACCACAACCACTATAAACACCTCTCACAGCCACTACACACAAGCACAACTCACATCCACCACCAACCCACAGACCCCAGGCCACCAGACACCAGAACACCCCCCGGAGCCATCACAACGACCATAAACAACTCTTACAGCCACCACTCACAAGCACAGCTCACTTCCACCACCAACCCACACAGAATAAATGCTCCAATGCTCCACAACAGGTACGCCTCACGGTACTCCCTCTACAGACAAACAACTCTCTATAACAATGCTCTAGAACAAAACAAATTCTCTGTAAACCCTAAACAAATCAAAAACCTAATTTCGCAGGAAGAAAGCCAAAATCACATTGAGAAAGCGAAATTTCCACAAGAATAAATACCGCACACTGTAGAAGGGAGGAAGAGAAAGGCGAGAGCGACAGGAGATTAACGAGAAAGAGACCGAGAGCGGACGAGAGCGATCGACGGAGGCGAGAGCGAGGGAAATCCTCTGTAAGATGCGCGTCAAGGGCAGTGGGGTAAAATGCGAGAACTCAACGCTCGCTGCGGGGTCGATCCCGTGGAACCATTTATTAAACAATCGAAACCCGCATTTAGAGAAAAGTCGTGTGAACGTGTTAACCAAACGGGATGACGGCGTTTTGAAAATGCCGCCCGTATTTTTAATCCGCCCCAAACGGGCAGTAAGAGAAAAGGGTTGGAGCAAAGTCCTGTAAGTTTTATTGATGTAGAGAGAAGATCCGAGTGGGTATTTATGTACATTTATGGTCTTTATGGTGAAAATTTCTTGGTGATGTGTCTCTTTGGTTATTTTTCATTTTCGGGTTTTTCCACGTAAATTTTGGTGTGTTTTTTTCTTAGATTGTTTTTATGGTGCTTTTGTTCAAATATTTGTTATGGATTTCTCAAATTTGTTGTGTTCCTATATCCCGGTATGATTTTGATTTATAATTGATTAAAGCCCTAAGTATATATAGTGTTCCATCCCAACATTAACACATCTTGCCACTGCATTAAAAAATGTATTTCACCTTTTAAAAGTTTAAATAGTGATATTTTTTATGTAATATAATAGATTTAAGTGGTATAGATGTAAAAAAGTAAATCTTAGGTGTTAGATATGTAATTACGTAAGAAGCGGGTGGTACTTATGCAATTGACCCTTTTTTTATTACTATCTCCACTCATGTGTGAAAAATGATGGATCGAGGATGTTCGGGTTAGTCAAATGCAATATATTCCTTTCTTAGCCTAATTCATGTTAGTTCAAATTATAGGGCCACTAGTATAGCCCACTTAGGCTAGTGATTCTGAGTTATGTTCAAGTCCTAGTACATTCAAGTTTATCTGTTAGTTTAATGAAAAGAATTTATATTTGTACTAATATGAGACAACAAATATTGATAAATTTGATTTAGCCTTCATTTATATATAATATAAAATAAGCCTTCAGTACTTTAATCATCATCACTATTTTTTTCCTCGTCATTATAGTCGTTAGACTTTGATTAGACTTTGAAAAGAGATTTCAACGGGCAAAAAGTCATTAAATTAATTAAGCTGTATTATGAAATAATTTTGAAGAGCCAATGGTACAAATAGTCAACTAAGTATGACAATAAAGTATAAACCCAGTCTATGATTGAGTGGCTCAAGGTGGCTTCCATACCTAATTTTTTTTTATGATTTAAGTATAAAATAAAATTTCTAATTAAATTCAAATTTTAAAAATAATTATGTTCATATATAAAAATGATCATGTGACTTGAGCTTAGCTTAAGTATTAGGAAAATTTACTTAAATGCCCCGTAATTATTATGTAGTTACATATCTAGCACATAAAATTTGATATTTGCATTATAACATTTTGGTGTTATAAAACTATGCATGAAAATTTATATCACTTTTAAAAAATTAGGAATTGTGGTATTTTTTTGGGATGTTAAGGTTTTGAGTAGGACCATCAAAAAAAGTTTGTCATTCATGTATAGCTTGTGTCCGGCTCACTAAGGAGTTTGTGTTCAATTTTGTTTGTTAAGCAAAAGAGCCAAACACAAACAAAATTTTTTAGCTCGATTTATTAATAAACCGACAAACAAGCTTTTGTTCGATCGTGCTTGGCTCGTATTGGCTCAAATTATCTAAATAATAAATAAATAATATTTAAATGTTAAAAAAATGTTATCTTTAATATGATATAAATTTGTATAAATATAAAAAAATTTAGGTGATGGATATGTAAATAATGAATTAGGTGGTATGTATGTAAATGCACCTACAATTTTCAGAAATAACATTTCTCCTTTGTATTGTAGGTTTTAGATGCGTAAATATGTAAAAAATTGGTTAGTATGTATTTAAATGCCCAGATTTTTGGTAATCCCGCAATTTGGCCTCCCAACTCGTGGTCCTGCATGAACTGTACAAACACATAAGAATTGAATGTTATTTATGTAAATGACCCGTAGAAATTTAATATTTTTTTGCTGCCCCACTGGCATGTTAACATGCCCTCCGAAATTCAGTTGTTGTGCATGAAAAATAGGCTTGTCAGTTTTATCGAGCCAAACACGAGCCTATTTTGAACGTTGTGAGCCTAACATGAATAGACTATTCACGAGCTCTTTCTAACGCGAGTAGAATACAAATAATAAAAAATTCGAACGAGTCAAACATGAACATGCCTTGGGCTTGCTCAAGTTCGGCCCTTTTACACCCCTCGTTTTGAGTGAAAATTTAGATATTATATATGTAAATACATAAGAATTTTGTGGCATGTTTATAAATTTCCCTAAATATTATCATTCAAGTCATTCAAAATCCATATCTCATTAGGTTTTTAAACTTGAATTCAATTCGGTGGATTAATTTTGATTTTGAATTTTTGTTATATATATATATATATATATAAATTTCTTATCTAGGGTGCAGTTGCAGCGCTTCACATGGTCCACTGTTTTCACCTCACTGGATTCCCCAAAGGTTTGATAAGTTGTATAACAGGAAAGGGATCAGAGATAGGTGATTTCCTGACAATGCACCCTGGGAGCAATTGTATAAGGTAATCTTAGTGCACTTAGAACACTTCGGATTTTGCAAGTACTGATGAGATTTGTTCTTAATTGGGTATATTAATGATTGGTTTTGCTTGCTAATCTGTGGATTAATGGCAGCTTCACTGGTGGTGATACTGGAATTGCCATTTCTAAGAAAGCTGGCATGATCCCTCTCCAGATGGAACTTGGAGGCAAAGATGCATGCATCATCCTCGAAGATGCTGATTTAGATTTGGCTGCTTCCAATGTCGTGAAAGGAGGCTTTTCATACAGGTGATACCCCTTTCGCAATACAGTAAAGTTAAAATAGATCAGACTAGTCTATGGTTTTACAGTACTATTGGTTCAGATTAATAATTATTGTGTCTATTGCTCAGCTACATCTCTTCAAGGGAAATAATTATTCACAATTTCTAACCATAAAGACATAGTTACTAGGAGAGTAAAAGCATCAACGCATATTATGTCATATATAAAAAGAGCTTCAAAAAGTAGAAGTTGGTAAAGAAGGAAGAGAATATTTGTGTAGAATGTTTAGAGTATGATAAAGCATGTATGATGAAAACAAATAATTTGTAATAAGTCGCACATTTTGTTAACATAATATTCATAGAAGTGGTTGATAAAAAAACAAAGTGCATTTACATGTATTTACACAATTCAAATGGATTTACATGTCTCACGCCTAAACTTTCATATCTTATTTAACTTAAGTATTAGTTACAACCAAACATCCCCTTAGTATTAATGAATACATTTGTTTAATTGTTTCTTCACTAACTGTTATATTCATGTCTGTATTGTGTGTCCTGTATGTTTGTATGTATGTATGTCTGTATGTGTGTATGTATGTATGTATGTATGTGTGTATGTGTGTCTCTGTATGTACGTATGTATGTGTATGTATGTATATGTGTGTGTGTGTATGTATGTATGTATGTATGTATGATTGTGTGTATGTGTGTATGTATGTGTGTATGTATTTATGTTTGTATGTGTGATTGTGTGTGTGTGTGTATGTGTGTGTGTGTGTATTTGTGTGTGTGTATGTTTGTACTTATGTGTACGTATGTGTATATGTGTGTGTGTGTCTGTATGTACGTATGTGTATATGTGTGTATGTGTGTATGTGTGTATGTACGTATGTGTGTAAATCGATAAGTATTATGGAGTATTTACCAGTCTTTACGAGTTTTATTTTAATATGGCAATAGAATTTTGCATAATTATTCTAGCAGTTACTTTGTAATATGTAAATATATAAGAATTGTGTACATTTTCTTTCTTATAAATGTTATGAATCAGTTCAAAGGCACTCTTGCAGTCTCTTTGATTTTCATCATTGAAGTTATAACCTATTCTAACAAAGCAGGATTCGTTTATTTATTTATTTATTTTTCATGTGCTTCTCATTAAACCCTCCTTCCCCAACTAAAAATTAAAAAAAAGCAAAATTTAAAAACAAGGAATGGGAGGATAAGCAGTTAATTTGCCATTTGGATCACTTCTTAAGACGTCCATTGCTCATACTAGTAAATTGATAAGTATCATGAAATATTTACCAGCCTTTATGAGTTTTTTTTTTAATATGACAATAAAATTTTGCATAATTATTCTAGCGGGTAATTTGTAATTTCTTCAGTGTTTTTTCCCTTGATTTCTAGGTCTCTAAGACTTGATGCCCTGTGTCTTCTGCTGTCTATGGCTAACGTTGGTGCCTATTCAGATGTACTTGTTTTTGACATGGTTGGTGGTTTACTTACTGGTGCTGTGGCAGAACGTCTTGGAGGTAGCATTGTTACTTATGAAATTATTTTAAATTCTATAGAAGAGTGTTCATGGTGTTGTGTTAATAGCAACAATGCCATTTTACATCACTACCCTTGAACTTGATAGCTTTTGAGCTCCTTTAGAACTAATAAAAATTATTTAAATTTTAAATTGCCATCTCTCTGTTTCAATATCTTAGTAGAGCCGCTAAACCAGAAATCATTTAACATGTAATCGTTATATTTATCCTGTAATAGTTCAATTGAACTATAAATATCTAAACTATACTTAAAAGTGATATGTCTGTCGGCTATTATATTTAAGTTATAAGAAATTGTTGAACTTCTTTTCTTTTCAATAATAATAATGAATATTGCTTTCTTGCCAGAGCTATGAATATTAAATGGATCATAATTTAATTTTACATCGTAGCATTTCTAAAGGATAATTCATTAGGGTAAGCTAAAATCACAACAAAGGTGTAATTTAAGGGATTTTTTATTTCCTATGATAGTAAGCAATTTCAATGCAACCATCATGATATTTAGAATTATACTTGATATGAGGAATATTCATAGGTTTTTTTATATTGGATCGATAACTTGGAAGATTTTTTTTTAAATGCAATATATTTTTTTCCAAAAGAGTCAAGTTTGCTAAATTAAAATTAATGAATTTTGCTCGTAAATTTTGGCAAATTGCTGTTGTTAAAATAAAATCTTTTTGGGCAAATGTGAAACATTATTAAAAATAGAGTGCTATTCATTGATTTAGAGATGAATTGCCCGATTATTTTAGGTTAATTGAATGATATAACCATAATGTGTTTAAAATATTCATGGGTTTGTAGGAAAACATTATTTATCTAGAGATGATTGTGTTATTTATGCATATTTCATTGAATGTCTTAAATAAGAAATTAATTATAAATTAAGTCACAATCTTCTAAAGGCACTACATGAGGCTTTCAATAGAGTTTTTGGGTTTGAGCAGTATTATAATTATTCTCATGTTGGGATTACTAGTCTTTTGATTGATATTCAGAAGGAATATTCATGAAATCTTGCATAAAACGGTAGTAAATACACACCGGCTCTAGAGTTTGTTAGATTCAAATTTAATCATACTAAAAAAAATTAATAGTTATAAATATTCTTTAAATGTTGAATTTGGTGTAAAAAAATTACAGTTATAATATGATACTTTATTTAATGTTTATAAATCTGAATCTGAATTAGATTTACACTAGAGCTTGCTCGTGAATATGAACCTAAAGCTGAGCCATAATTAAATTCTGTATCTAAAAATTACTAAGAACTTATTTAAACTAAACCTCAAATAGAATTTGAATCTATCAATAGCTATGAAGCTGAGCAACTCATGCTTGTTGAAAATGTTAGTTCAAACGAGCAAGCTAATAATGTAATACTTGAGACATGATCTTCTAATATTATGCCTATTAAGATTATTTAAACCAATATAAATTATGCTTTTGATTATTCATTTTTTATTTCAAATTCATAGAAAGAACTTATCGGTCAAGTCAAATCTTTTTAACATTTCAAAGGATTTATTAGTAATATTTGTCTTCATGAAATTAAAATTCCATCTATTTGTTGAATGTAAAGATAAATAATTTGTCATGCTTAATTTTATTTCATGTGTTGTTTTTCTTAACTAAAGTGTTATCCATGTTATAGGCACATTACTTTTTATGTTTTTTCTTGGTTATAAGAAGAAAATTTTGTGGAACCTACTAAATAAAAAAAATTTCTTTTATCATCACATCCTTTTGGAACTAGTTACAGTGTATTTATCATAAAGCATATGAGCATATTTTAGCATCACCCTTATATACGTCATATTTTATTGCATTATACATTTGGCACATACATTATTTGCATTGGAGTATCTGCAAGAAACTTCTTCTTAATTATCATCATTATAAGTCTCATAGATTTGAATCAGATGTATGGAATTCAAACCAGGTTATAAGATAATGATCTATCTTAATCTTGAAAATTTTTCATAAAAAGTCATAGAACTAATTGGGAAAATACTTGCTAGTTGGAAATCCTGTGTAAATCTAGTACTAGTTCGTTTTCTAATATGTTTAATTTGACTGTATAACCCTAACCATCAACCAATGAGTTGTATTTTTCTCTTCTAACCCACCTTTGCGGTATACATTTAAGGGCATTTACATACAAACAACAGAATCCTTATATATTTTCATATCCAACTCCTAAGCATTCATATTTACTTGCATACCACTCAAATCTTTAACATCACATCAAAAAAACCGGCATCACTATCTTTTTAAAAGTGAAATACATCTTTTGATGGATAGGTTTATGATAACAAGGTGTTAAATGTAGATATCAAACTTTGGGTTAGATATGTAAATACATAAGAATTTTGGTATGTATGTAAATTTTCCTTACATTTAATCTAGCATTTGCATAATACCCCAAAAATTTTTCCTTACTTTTAATCTAGCATTTGCATAATACCCCAAAAATTTTACTAAACTTGTTCATAGAGCTATATTTTGTGGTGAGATTTTGCTCACTATCGATGATGACTTTTTTTGTTACTTTATGTGATGGAGAAACAAACTTGCATATGATGATTTTTGAATATTCCTATAACAAAAGTGAAAGCGGTACACCTAGACTTATTTGAAGAATATTGACTTGGTAATTACTTGGAATTATCCAACTTTGGAGAATGGATGTGGTGCTTATATCTAAGCATTGTAACTTTTTGCTCAATAATGTCTCCTATTAGATTTTAGAGAAATTTACATATATAGCACACAATCTTTATGTATTTACATATCTCACACCTAACCTTTCAAATTAACATGCATAACACGTTCTTTCAACTTATGCATAAAAAGGTTAATTTAATATTTAAAAGAAAAGATGTATTTCACTTTTAAATAAATTGTAATGGAGTTGTTTTTTATGTGATGTTAAATATTTGAGTGTTATGTGTGTAAATATAAAAGTAAGGGTCTGTTTGGTGCAGCTGCAGCTTATCCAACTTCTGCTGATTAACAACTGATTCTGATAACTACTGATGAGCAGCTGATCCGGATAAGTTGTCTGGCTGTTTGGTTTGTGCGTATGGAAAACAACTGATTCTGGAAAAATGACCATTCTGCCCCTGTTCTGAATAAGTTGTTTATCTGTTTGGTTTGTGTTTTTGGTAAACAGTTTTTTTGCAAATTTTTTAGTTAAATTAATAAACTGTGTCGCAGAATTTATTATTTTCTCAAATGTCACAACATGAAAATGCAAAAGAGTTGAATAACAATTACGGAAGAACTCGAACCACATGCGGTAGTCTCCCGTTGTGGTACTATCAAACTCCTAGCAGCTGTGTCGAATTGGGATATCGTAGAAACAGTTGCACCGTCTGCCCACCTGAAGAATTTGCAGTCTTTCGATCCTTGTCCTCACCGCGGGCACCTGTAGAATTGCCGCCCGTAGCTATGTGCCCGTCGTGATGTGAGTAGCAATGAAGGTAGCCCACATCGACACATCACTTGCCCTGACTTCTCTGAATGTCTCGAGCTCATTGTCCTGCAATTATTATAAAAGTAAGCATACCAGTCAAAAACTGTAAGGGAATAAAAAAAACTTAACTTACCAAAGTGTGGAAGCAATAGTTGCAACAAAGTTCTTTAACCATCCAAGGTGCTCCATTATTATATCAATAAAAGTAATAGACATAAAAGTATAAAAACTTGTTTCTCAATCGTATCACTTGCCCTGACTTCACAGAATTCAATTAAAAGAGATGCAACAGAAAATTTCATTCTCATAAAATGAGCTCAAAGCTCATATTAATCCGAGATAAAGGTAATATAACACCCCCCAATCTCCTATCTTCATTTTAAACCGAGAGAAGGAAAAAAATATAACAGAAGTATGTTTTGTATAGATGCCCATTAATTATGCCCATTAAATGCCCATTAATTCCAAATAGCAGGTTTAGGCTAGTATTAAAATGATCATTCCATCAACTTCAAAATTTCTCCATACATCGCAATGCTTCGAGTGCTATGTATGTAAACAGCTCAATAACAGCTGAATAGCATAATACAAGTTTTTTTGTCCTCTGAATAAACCACGTAATTTGCTCTGTCATCATAAACTCGAAGAGTAGCACATTCATAAAATAATGCCTGATGTTATAGCAGACATTCATAAAATATGGAAAGGAATCATTGAGCATATACATTGCAGAGAACCGAACTCACACGATAGTAATGAACCTGTTCAAGTAGAAAATGTTGAAATGCAACTTCAGCTGTGTCGAATTGGGATAGCAATATGCAGTTTCCCCCAATTCCATCATCCAAAAAATAAATGACACAATGGTTGCTGTAATTATTTAAGCCATCCTAATTTGCCAATTATTTTGAATACAGGATTAATACAGTCTTCTGAACCTCACTTTTTAAAGAAATAACTATTTGCTAACATAATAAGCCAGCTCATATCAAACTACTATGACTGACAAAGAAATCACACAACACTGAAAACTACCTCTCCTTCCTAATTATCTTAAAATAACTCTACTCACAGATATTAGTTTGACTTTAGAAACCCAAATTATGAGCTTGCTGGAGGTAGATGGAAAAAAAAATAAAAAAACCTGGTTTAAAATCCTGCTTTAGTTCAATTTGAACATTCTGATCATGAAATAGTGAAATGCCCTGCAAATTAACTCTAGAAAATTTCAGATCAGAAAAGAACTTGAATAGATATACAACGTGCGTTTTTTTTAATGATATGCACAACATCAAATCAAAAGCCAAAATACTGGAGCACTTTCAACTCAAACAACACATCATAGGTTGTGATTGCTTCAAGTGAATATATGCAAGCTCTTTTAGAATCTGTTAGTAAAATACCTTGGGTGTGATATATGCAAGCTCTTTTAGAATCCA